TCCAGCACTGCAGTGCGGTACCCACAGACTGCCGCACCTCAGCAAGACCTCCATTTTTTAAAATAATTATTTATTTTTATTGTATTTGTTGTTATTATTATTATTAATTTGACCAGAGAGAGAAAGGGAAAGTGAGAAAGCAAGACATCAGGTCCAGGACTTGAAGGGCGGTTGGCCATGTGGGAATCCAGCACCTTAACCACTGCACCACCTGCCGGTCCTCTCCCCCCCTTTTTTTTTAATTTGACAAAGAATGTGTGCACTTGCTAGAAAAATGGAGGGGTGAGAAAATACCCCGCATGGGGAATGGTCACGCCACAGCCCTCTCTCCTCCTTTTGGGATTCTAGGCTCGCGCACACGCCCAGCATGTTTCTCAACCTGCCACGTCCGGGACTCCAGCTGCACAGAGAGTCATGCACTTAACCACCTTAACTGTCATGCCACAGGCTGGCTCTATTTATTTATTTTTTAAGTTTATCCCTCTATCTCTCCTATGAAAGAGGGAAAAGTGGAGGGACGGCACCCAGCTGTGTCCCAACACCACAACTTCCGCAGCACTTCAGCCAGCTCCAGAGCACCACCCAGGGAGGTCTCCAGAGGCAAACCCAGACCCTCCCACTGGGTGGGCTCTGCAGAGCGCAGCATGGCACTGCTATCCACTGTCTGCACTCCCACCCCCCCTCCTTCAGAAACGGAAAAATGGGTGTTAAGGATTTCAATTCAAATTATGATGAGAAGTCAGAATCCCAGATCTAGTTTGGGAGAACGAATAAGCTGGGTGTATGCTATCAATGTGTAAGTTGGAGGAGAATAGCTACTTTTTTTTTCCATGAAAGTACATGACACATTCACATTTACATAGAAGAACTCTTGCACATGTGCACTAAGACATACGGGGGAAAAGTCTTAAAAGCACTCTGTCATATCAAAACATGGGAACCAATCCAAATATCTGTCAACAAGAGATTGGCTAAATAAGGTATGGAATGTTTGCCCCGAAGTATTATATAGCTATCTGCAACACTTGTATAATTCTTAGAAACTTCAAGTTAAGTTTTAAGAAACTGATAAATCATTTTTTTAATAAACCAAAAGCAGCACGCCTAAATAATACATTGTTTAGGAATATATACATTTACCCTAATATCCTTTTACAATATAACCAGGGAATAATAGGAACTGGCAGGTGGCATGGTGGGTAAGGACGCTGGACTCCCAGATGGCAAACCACGGCTCGAGTCCTGGAACTGGTGGCTTGCTTTCTCACTCTGTCTCTCTCTTTCTCACTCTCTTTCTCACTCTGCCCCTCTCTGGTCAAATTTAAATCAATCAATAAAGTCAAATAAAATAATTCTTTAAAAAAAAAGGAATAATTAACACAAAATTCAGGATTAGGAGTGACACAGTACATGGCACAGATGAAGAGCACAAGAAAGATGCCGCAAAGTGGGTAACCATCCAGGGCCTATTACCCAGTCTTCTATTTGTTTTCATGAAGAGCTTTATTGAGACATAATTCACACACCACATAATCTGCCCATTTCCAGTGGCTGAGTCACTGGTTTTTAGTATATTCACAGAGAGGTGCAACTATCATGACCATCTTACAACATTTTCATTGACGGGACAAAACCTCGTCCCCTTTATCTCTCTCTCCTCTACCACCACCCCCAGCCCTAAGCAATGACTAATTTACTTTCTGTAGAGACACTTTCATGTTGGTATGAATGGAATCACGCAATATGTGGCCTTCCGTGACTGGCTTCTTTCACTGAGCATGACACTTCCAAAGGTCATCCCTGTTTTAGCAGGTATTAGTCCTGCACTCTGAGTCATGACCAAGTAATATCTCACCGTATGGATATACCGCCTTTTATGCACCCATTCATGAGATGATGGACGTTTGGTGCTTCAGTCTTTTGGCTATGATGATCAGTGCTGCAAGCAACATCTGTGCACAGGGTTTTATGTGAACATACATTTTAATTTCTCTCAGGGACCAGCAGTTGGTGTAATGGCTATGTCGCTGGACTCCCATGTAGTTGACTGTGGTTTGAGTCCCGGACCCAGTGGCTTAAACTCACACCAGGCACGTGTGCGTGCGTGCCCAAGATCCTGAGTGGAGAATGGAGGAGAAGGGATTGCAGCGTGGCTATCCCCTCTGGGAGGTGATTTCTCGCTTTCTGTCCCTCTGTCTCTCTTTGTCCTTCTAGCAAGCACACATGCCCTATAACAAAAGTTTCTAAAAAAAAAAAAATTCTCTTGGCTGTATACCTACAGAAGAATTGCTAGGTCATACCGTAACCATATGCTTATCTTGAAAAACTTCAAACTGCCTTGCAAAGAGAATGCACCATCTAACAGTCTCGCTAGCAAGGCACAAGGGCTTCAATTCCTCTATATCCTGCCTCAGCTTTGATCTTACCTTTGGACGACAGCACACCAGTGAGTGTGAAGCGGCACATCCCTGTGCTTGTGCTTTGCACTTCCCTGATGAATAACGGTACTGGGCATCTTTTCATGGGTTCTTGGCCGTTCGTACATGTTCTTTGGAGAAATATCTGCTCAGCTCCTTTGCCCATTTTTCAATTGGGTTACTTACCTTTTTATTATTGGTTGTAAGAGCTCTTTACACATTGTGGATACAAGTCCTTGATCAGATATGTGACTGTGATGTGTTTCCTCCCATTTCTGTGGGTCACCTTCTCACTACCTAGTCTTCAAGTCCTAGTGTCTAAATCTAGGGATGGGTTCACGGGTATTCATTTGTAGTGTTCACAGCTTATCTAGACTTAGCATATCATTTTTCGGTATAAAACACTACAAAATGAATGAACACAAAACAAAACCTCATGCATTAAGATGTCTGTTAAGAACTATTCAAAACAAGACATCATAATGCCCCCAAATAAGTTAATGCTGTTTTTAAGGTATTTAACCTAACTCCCAGGAACTATTTGAGGCACGTGGAGATTCTCACCTGTTAACCCTTTCTAAAAGTTCCTCTCCAAACAGAGTCAGCTGGAATAGAAATTACTGCCCGCTCTCACCTCTCTTTTCACATTACCCCTATCGCCCGAAGCTAAAAATGGGTTTTACATTTCTAAATACCCAGAAGAAGAAAATAATATTTTGTTATCAGTTAAATTTACATGAACTTCAAATTCCAATATCCATGAACAAGGTGGAAATACAGCCACCTAATTTCCCTTGCTTAGTGTCTTCCACTACGTTCAAGCTCTAGCAGCAGAACTGAGTTGTTGCTAAAGAGACTCGGCATGGCCTACAAAATCTCCATATTGACTGCCCAGCGCTCTACCCACAAAATTCCTAGGCTTGGCCCCACAGTAGAGTGACTAAGGGAACCAGATTCCACATGGCTGATGGTGGTTCAAGTCCCAGTCCTGAGGGTTTCAAAACCATACTGGACGTGCGTGTGCACCCCAAATCCCAACAGGATGGAGAAATGGAGGATAAGGGGATTGGGGCATGACCATGCCTTGTTGTGGTGTGCTGTCTCCCTATCTCTCTGTTGAGTACAAGCCCCTACTGACAAAAAATGAAAATTGTAAAACCCTAAATTGTGTCAACAAAATTAAATGATTTCCCATGCAACAGTGAAGGGTAAAAACCCAATTTTGAGTAGCAGACTACTTTGATAATGATCTGCATGATTTCTGAGTTTCCTTTTAACAAATATTCAGATGATGTCTTGGCTCTGTCTAACTTTAGTAAAGATTTTGAAGTATGGGGAATGGGACCAGCAGATGGCATAATGGTTACGTTGCTGGACTCTCACATGGTCGACTGTGGTTCAAGTCCTGGACCCGGGGGCTTAAAACTCACCCCAAGGGTATGTGGATGCATGTGGAAGATTCTGAGAGGAGAATGGAGGAGAGGGGATTGTGTGTGGCCATGGGGAGGAGATGATGTCTCACTTTCTGTCTCTCTTTCTCTCTGTCTCTCCGGAGAGCTCACATGCCCTATAGCAAAATTTCTCTCTAAAAAAAGAAAAAATATGAATTTCTGGAGAAGTAGTCTTCTCTTGAAAAATATATAGCATCTTCAAGAAGTCGCGCCCCAGCCACACTGTTGAACTGATTATTCTCACAAACGTTTTTTTGTATGTTCATTGCATGTCGTTTGCCAAATACCGTCTGTGCTGTAACCTCCAAAACCCTATCCAGGCCCTCAGGAGGCTTCCAATCCAATCAGACTCTAGTAACTACACGAACGCGTCCCCAAGATCCCCCTACCCTTGGAATGTTCCAGTAAGTGGGCTTAGATACTTTGCCAAGAATGTTTATAGACACATTTCTAGGTGGAAAGCAATCATCGAAGGCGACCAAGTCTGCAAACTGACAGTGGACGGCACGCCCCTGCCTACACCCCGGCCTCCCTCGGTGGCCTCCTCTCCATCGCGCTGCTCCGACCAGATCCTAGGTCAGGATCTGAAACGCAGGTGCCCGTGTTTACTCCCTGGAGAGACCACAAGAATTCCAGCACTGCTAACACCTGCAGCTGGGCTACCTAGCCCCGACAGCGCTGACCAGGCGGCTCCCTCCACCGATCGCCCCAGCCCCAGCAGCGCGGGCCGGGCGGGCCGGGGGGTGCCCTCCCCAGCCCGGGCCCTCCATGCCTCAGTTGCCTTTCCATTTTTCAGAAGTGAGTCATCGCCTCAAGTCAGGTTCTGCAGAGAAGCCAGTTCGGTTTCTTTCCAGCACTTTCTGATCAGGGCGGCTCGGGTCAGACCCAGCGCAATGACACCCACCCCTGCACCCCCGGGAGGTTCAGGGTCTATCGCGCCAGGCTCCCCTGAAGTTAGAGGGGCCAGGCGCGCAGCGGCGCGGGGGTGGGAGGCCT